GTAAGTAAGCTTTTGACCTTTCACTTTCAGTCTAATTTAGAATAAATATCTCTCTTCCATGGAACGATTTCTATGTCGCAAACCTTCCCGCATGGTGGCCGAGCAGCCGCCATGATTCGAAAACAGATTGAATTGGTGCGCGCGTTGGTTTATGGGATACGGCATTAAAATTTCTTTCCCCAGGCTCCCGCAATGACATCACAGATCACCTGGTATTTTCTAAGAATCGTTTTCTTCGACCTGAGCATACAAGAAGGTCGATCTAGATACTGGCCATGGTTCTAGGATTAACTTAGTGAGAGCTGCCACTGCACTTACATATTTAATGTGGATATTTTCTGTAACTATACATTCAGAGTTTATCTATTTTTGTTCTCTTAGGAAACATTTTTGATTACAAAGATTTAATCGCGTTCATTGCGAAAAATTTCATACATTGAGTGGCTCGAGTAGGCTCGCGCAATTTTCTTTTCCTTTAATGAAATTTGTCAAAACAAAGCGTGGCGTTTACCATTAGGCAATGAAATTATAGTATTTAGCACACATTCAAACAAGAGCAAGCTTGAAAGAAGAAAACCCAAGTTTTCTCGTTATTACATCATTAAGCAATCAAAACTATTTCAGTATTAACCGAGAGTGAGGTCTTTACGGGAAAATCTCAAACCGGAGACCTTGCCATACCTCGCTATCACTTAGTCAATACGGCAAGGTCTTGGTTTGAGACTTTCCCGTAAAGACCTCACTCTCGGTTTATAATAGGTAGACATTGCGGTCATTATTTTGTCACGCGAAAAGAAATAAGTCCAAAAACTTCCAGTCAAGCTGTTGTTATGTAAGGTGGACGTGAGCCGAAAGCTTTCAACATGGCGGCCGATGTTTACTTCGGTGAATAGGTTTATACACCATTCAGTTCGACAATATTTCCAGACGTCTTGAGCTCAGGAAAATAGACATGTTTTATCCGATACCTTGTTGGAAACCATGAAAACAACTTTTACGGCACTATATTTACGATGAAACTTTCCAATATGAACGAAGCTAAGATAATTGTAAACATCTAAGACTTATAATACCAGCACTTCTGACAGATCGACAAGTTGAAAATTTGCTTCTCACATTCCGGCTCTGACAAGAAGCGAAGTACAGTATGGTGGAAGTGCAGTCCTAAAATATGGAATCCGGAAACCGGAAACCAGAATCCGGAATCCGAAATTCGGAATCCGGAGTCCAGATATTATGAATAACGATAGAAATAATTCACTTCAGCAATGTTTAGTAAATAAATATAGGGGAAAATTATTTTGTTGTTACTTATTTTCTTTGCTCTACTTCAACCACAAATTGTAATGGTTAACAAATTCTTGACTAGCTCTGAACAAGCCTTAGCTATACATCTGGCCCGGTTGTTCAAAAGCTGGATAAAGCTATCCATTGGGTAAATCACTATCCAGTCGGAGTTAGTAATTTTTCGGGTGGATAGAGTTACCCATAGCCTGCGAGCAGGCTCTAGTATCTGTCTCTAGTGTCTGAGCAGGCTCTAGTGTATAGTTTTTTTTGTGTGTTGGCATGTGAGCGAGTCCCTTCTCGCGGCTTCGCAACTCGCAACCCCGGTCCAAACACGAGAGCCTGCTCGCTGGCACGTAGGTGAGAGCGCGGTTCTTGTCTAGATCAAATTGCTCTGAGAAGACTAGAGAGTAACACAATAGCAACAAGCTATTGCGGTGAGTTTCTGGCAGTCTCTTAGCATGTTTTAACAACACCTGTTCCGATCCGTTCGCAAGCGAGAACCAGACGGAAGTAAGTGTGCAACATTTCTATAACGAGTTTTGACACGATGGCCGGCAAGAATATGTAGTGGTGATTTGTAACAGTATCAGTGTGGAAATGGTGTTGATCTGAAATTAGTCATGTATCTGCTGGGAAAAACAAATTTATTTAGACGAGCCAGGTTAGCCTTTGGGCATCGAAAGTGGGGGGCGTGACTGTCAATGTACAGGGGGCTGCCACTGACGGAGACCCTGATTTCTATGACATTTTCTACCTTGTTCAGTATCTACTAGACATAAAGGCTAAATTTATACCTGCAGTAAATTGCAGATCACTTATTAAAAAAAAAAAAAATGGCAATTACCAGGAAGCCTATTTTAGACGCTCTCAGGGTGCTTGGAATCATTGCGACGTACGTTGCTTGGATTCTCATAATCATAGCCCTCACTAGAAATAACGGTTGCACGAATTTCAGCAGACGGGAAATT